TTTTATGCACGGCGCGGCTACCATCGGCCGCGGCCGTGCACGCACACCACTAAAAACAGTAAAAGTGAACATTTCTCGCTACCTATTTTGTGTAAGTAGGGATTAATAAGTACTTTTCCCTGATGGCGTAGATGACAGCGTAGGGGAGGGTGGGATTAGCCATGAAGCTAACATCACGGTACCGTTAAGTACAGCAAAGTAGCGCATGTGGGTGATAAATAGTTCATCCCTGGGACTGAGCGTAACACATTGGCGGCTGCGGACTCAGTAAATACTCAACAAATTAAATAGCAACGAAAAAATGTATTTGCCAGGGATGGGGGGGTGAGGAGGAGGTTACCTTATTTCATATGAAAACGCAAACAAATCTTAATCGGTATTCTAAATGTATTTTCGATTAGAAAGTAGGATTGTAATATTAATTATCGTGCGGTATAATCTCCGAACATGTTAGTCAGTTAAATATGCCGGCTGTTAAATAAACACTTTTCGGACGCATTACTACATTTGCTCGAAAAGGCTACTTGAGTAGCATTTATTTTTCGAGTTGATTTTCGATGACTTGATGAAGCTAAGTGGAAGGTATGGAAAACATGAACCAAAATATTCTTTCTTGGTGGCAAATAGTAGTTTCTTCAAATTGTATACTTAAAGAGAAGTTAGTTTACGGTTTTAAAAAGCTTCTACTTATGGCATTTTTAATACTGTTAAATTTTCATTCAAAAAGCATCCTATCTGTCCATTTATCAATGCTCCTTGTAAAGAATATGACGTGGTCCATATTCACTGCAAAATTCTGAGTCTGATATGACATCCTCGTAAAAGATCATAGATTTATGAGTTTCCTTACACGGAAGATATACAACTTGTAGTTTGAAAATCCTGAATTCAGGCGTAGCAGCAGGTCTGGTTCAAACGTATTCGGAAATTGGAGTTGATTTACACCTGAGGGGTGCTTTTTCCTCATGTATAAAATTCAGGACGCGCTAATTTTGTGCATCTTTTCTATAATGATATATTGAAATTTATAAGAGGGTCAAGAATCAACGAGAAACTACATACCACATAAACAGTGGTTTTTTATTGTGTGATTTTTGTACGTGACCAGAAAAAGATCTTTTAAGGCTTGCATCCCGACGTGATTGAAATGGCT